TTTTTGTCACATTTGTTCTGTGTATGTGTGTGTGTTTTCTTAGGGTCTGTAGAGTTGGTCATTGTTCTTTCTAGATAGGAAATGTGGGGAAAAATTGGAGTCCCTTAATTAGGTTCAAGAAAGGATAAATTATAGAGATGGCATAATCTTTTTTTTTATTATTTTCTTTTCTTTTTCAGAATGTTGTTCTTGCTATTTGAGGAAAGGTGTTCCAAGAAAATGTTGTTACGGGTGTGGGTGTACAAATTTTAGATCACAATGGATGTATATTTTAAAGGACAAACTGAATATAGACCTCACCAATTGATTTCCTCATACTTGGCTGTAATCATATGAACTGCATAATATTTTAGGTGCACATTGCAGTTTTTTTTTCACCCAAAGTTTACTTGCTTTTGGTTTTTTTAGCCCAAATTTCACTTTAATCCCTACTGGTATTCTGAATTTTATATTTGAATCACATTAAACTAGGGTATTATTCGAGTCAAATCAAATCGAGCACTTTGTGTTTGAGCTCGTGCTCGGTTAATGTACAAGTCAAGTCAACTCAACTCAAGCTCGATCTGCTAAACAAATTTAAATTTGTAAAAGAGATTTTCGCGAACACGATTTGTGCAATCACAGACATTATTTACTCTGCTATCACATCGAAATCAATAAAATATATAAATAAAATAATTACAAAAGGTGTTTGTAAATGACCTCGACTTAGAGGTGAGCATGGTGCGGTTCGGTGCAAAACCGCACTGAACCGCAAAAAACTAAAAACTGAATAAATACTTACCCGAACCGAACCGTACCGAACCTGGTAGAAAAACCGAAGGAGCGGGTTGATGCGTAAGTGGATTTTGACCCCCGACGACAAGAAGGGCCAAGAGCCGAGACGACCCGATGAGGCCCAAAAAAGGGCCAAAACGATGCACGTATGGCCTAAGAGACGGGTACGAGCTCGTATGCGAGGCGCACGAGCACATGAGGGGCGGCACGAGTCGACGGGAGTCTCGTACTAAGTAGCGAGTACGCACGAGAGGGACTCGCGTGTTCACAAAGGCACGTTCACGAAGACGCCTCATGAGTCCAAGGAGCATAAGGTGTAAGCGCATGGCACGTATGTGGACGGGCTTGGATCGAGGAGTTCGCATAGGCGTGAACCATGGTAGTCGGCAAAAGGCCTAACGGATCGATGCACGAGCGCATGAGGCGAACCGGGTGAGCCGAGGGTCGGCCATACAAGGGTCGACTACACAAGGGTCGAGCATGAGAGGGTTGAAGCTTGTAGGTCAAGAGATAGCGCGCGACCAAGCACGCGGAAGAGAACGCGGGTTGGACGCGCGATCACGCAAGTCGGCCAAGGAAGGTCGCGCAAGGAGGTATGCGAGGGCACGCAAAAAGGTGGTCCATAAGTGGGCGACAATCGGGCGCAAGAAAGGGCGCATTAGACAAGGGCGAGAATATGCGCATTGGCGTAGACGCGCATGGCGAAGTGGCGCGCAGGGGGTGGATGTTGGGTGGTTGTTGCACGCGAGGGACTGCTGTAGATGGCGAGCGCGAGCGAGCACGCAGAGGCGCGCCGGGCGAGCAAGGCGCACTGGGCGACACGCGCGAGGCTCAAGTCAAAACCAGGGTGACAAGCCTAATCCTCATAGGAATAGGAAAGGCACGAATACTAAACCCTGCAGGACTAGGAAAGGCAGTTGAGCGCTGGTACGCACGTGAAAGATCGGTGACGGGAGTAATCCTCGACAGAACAGGCGACACAGACGGGAGTGGATTTCTAGTAGGAATAGGCAAAGCCGAGGCGCACTCAAGCAGACTCCTTGGCAGATTAGGGTAAGGCGACGCGTGGACAGGGACGCGCATTACCGCGCGCGACGAGGAGTAGGCGTAGTGAGCAGCCCTAGTCCTCGAGGACTAAGGCAAGGCGGAGGGCGGCTAGGTCATTGGAGGCGGCCAACTTAAAGTGCAAGGCAAGGATTTGGAGTGCAAGCCAAGTAATTAGGAGATCTAGTAGATTTAGGATTTTATGTTAGTAGAAGATGTTAGGATATTTAGTTGCCTTAGGATTTATATTCTTGCATGATTTAGGAGTTCTAGTTGGAGTAGGCTTAGATTTATTTTACACCAATAAATACCCATGTACTCTTCATTATTTATATGTCTTGGAATATGATGAGTTAATGGAAAATAGTTCGTAAGAGCGAAACCGTGTGTTTAAAATTCGTGAGAGTTTTGTCATACAAATCGAGTGAGCGAGGCTAAGACACGAGTGATCTCAAAATCGTGAGAAAATAAGGCTAGTAAAGGAGTCGTCCCCATCTATCGTCGAGAGCGAGCCATGACGAAACTTTGTTCGAGGCAAACAAGTTGAGCGGAACACACGATCCTTCATCACGACTACGCGCGAGAGGAGCTCGCGCGTTCACAAAGATACGCACACGAAGACGCCGCATGAGCCCGAGGAGCATGAGGTATAAGTGCATGGAACGAACGAGCTTGGATCGAGGAGTTCGCATAGGCGTGAACCATGGTAGCCGGCGAAAGGCCCAACGGATTGATGCACGAGCGCACGAGGCGAACCGGGTGAGCCGAGGGTCGATCACACAAGGGTCGACTACACAATGGTCGAGCATGAAAAGGTCAAAGCTTGTAGGTCAAGGGATAGCTCACAACCAAGCATGCAGAGGAGTACGCGGGTTAGACGCGTGGTCACATGAGCCGGCTAATGAAGGTCGCACATGGAGGTGGGCGAGGGCATGCGAGAAAGTGGTCTCAAGGTTAGCAATGCTAAGACGTACGAAGAGGTGCACTAAGCAAGAGCGTGAATACGCGCATTGGTGTAGACGTGCACGAACGAGACCACGTCTTGAACGGACGCGCCATCGGAGGTTTCGGGACGCGCATCGAAGGAGTGAAACCTGGTGGGGATGGCTAAGACACTAGGTGGCTCGAAGAAATGGGAGTCATGCAAGTCGGGTGCCCAACGGGCACTACACACGTACACGGGCGCATTGGCAGCGCGCTGGCGCCCAGTAGTACGTGGGGCCACGCGCAGACGGACGCGCGCACAGGCAGTCCGCGAATAGTTCGGGCGCGCTCAGGGGCGGGTGCACGCGGGCGCAGCATAGCCGAGCAGTGCACGCAGGCACGCGTATACGGAAGTGGTTATTAACCCCGGAGAGTCCGAGGACGAGTCTATCGAAGACCACGACTTATGGCTGGAGAACATGCTCGAAGAGCCACAAAGCCCGATTTATCAACCTTCATGCAAGCGAGATTGGCCGAGAGGATGTGGACCTAGGTCAAGAAGGAACAAGGCCAAGCGAACTAATAGGCAGCACAAGCCGAGGACTAAGGAGGTGAACGGTTGGTGCAAAGCTTGTGCGAGAAAGCGGTGTGCATGGAGAATGGAGGCTAAGAGGATGGGCGCGCGAGGGGTGGAAGATGGGTCGAAAGTGCGCGTGGGAGATTGCTGCGGGCCGGCGAATGGGTGCTCCGAGTGGACGGATGTGCATGGGGTCGAAGGTGAACGGCTAATGAGCGAGCAGCACGCATCGGGCGGTTATGCGTGTGATTGGGCGAGCGAGACGCACGCGGGTGGATAGGACGCGCGGCAGTCGGATGACGGGCGCGCGGGACATAGCGAGCGCGCGAGTGGCGCGGACGCGGGCGATGGCCTAGGTCTTGAAGGCCTATGACTGGCGGGAGCACACGCGCGCGAGGAAGTCGGCAGCAACGCGGGGCGCGCGATGGCGCGCGAGTGCAGCATATGCGCGGGAGTCCTAAGCCGCGAAGGACTGGGCAAGCACGGGCAGGCGACATGTGAGGCGCGCGCGCGCGAATCCGCGCGCGACGAGGAATAAGAAACAAAGACGGCGCGCGGGCGGAAGGCTAGGGTTCGACGTGCGTTGCATGAGGCGGCCAAATGGAGTGGGAAGCAAGCAATTTGGAGAGAAAGATATTTAGTTTCCTAGTTGGTTTAATAATTCTAGTATTAGAAGATGTTAGGAGATTTACTTTCCTTAGGATTTATATTCTTGCATGGTTTAGGAGTTCTTAGTAGTATAGGACTAGATTTATTTGGCACCTATAAATACCCCATGTACTCTTCATATTTTATGAACATGGTTGATGAATAAAGAAGATAGTTCGTAAGAGCAAAAGCGTGTGTTAGGATTCGTGAGAGTTCGATCATACAACCGAGTGAGCGAGGCTAAGACCCGAGTGATCTCAAAATTGTGAGAAGATAAGGCTAGTAACCGAGTCGTCCACATCTATCGTCGAGAGCGATCCGTGGCAAAGCTAGTTCAAGGCAAACGAGTTGAGTCAAACACACGATCCTTCACCACGTGTGCAGGCGCAGGACAGCACAGCAGCGCGCACTGGCAGCACGCGCGACGTGGGCGCAGGGCAGCCAGGGGCAGCACGAGGGAATGACTTGCCAAGCAAGAAACCGAGTCTTGTAGGAGTTCTTTTGAGCTGAATCTTCTCTAGATTATTCTTGATACTTTCCTACATGAATTATTAGCTTTCCTTAGTATGTTTGGCCTTTGATTTAGATTAGGATTTTAGATATTTAGTTGCCATAGAATTTTATATTCTTTCCTAGTTAGAATTATAGCTCTCTTAGGATTAGATCTAGTTTCTTCTATAAATACCCATGTACTTTTATTATTTTCATATAGAATTGATGAGTTAATAGAAAAAGAATGTTTGTTCATCGTGTGTTTAGACAAGACCGTTAGTTCGCGTTTATCCTACAATCGTGTTCGGAAGAAGGTTGTAGCGCGTCTTTTGTCACAACCTATCGTGTTCAATCGAAGGCCCTTAGTGCG